AGAAACAATCAAACACTGTTGTTTTAAGTCACTGGCTTGAAATGATTTGTTACACGGCAGTAGCCAACCAATATACCCTTACCCAAGGGCCCTGGCCACCAGCCACCCAATCTCATGTAGTCAGCACATGCTGAGTGCCCTAACAGCTCCCCACCCAGGATGCTAAGGACCAGGCCAGAGTGTGCAGACCATACACAGACCTACTATGTGCCAGTCCTGTGCTGGAACCTAGGGATGGAGACTCATGTGTGAGGCCCACCTCAGCCTCCCAGGAGCCCACAGCTCCCAGGTGCGAGAGGGTGGCTGGCCCGCCCGAGGCTGTGGCCACAGGACCTGGGGACCAGAAGTGGAAAACTTTCATACTCTAAGTTTTCCACTCCATGGACACCTGTTTGGAAACCTTTCACTTCCTGGGCAGCTGCATGTTAGTGGGTCAGAGACGGTGTGATTTTTCAGCCTGTGTTCAGTGGGAACCGTGGCTCAGAGCTCCCACCCTGAGGGGTATCTGTCCTCCATCCCTGGACTGAGGGCCCCCCTTGGAGGGCTTGTGTCTGAGCAATTTCCTCACTTTCTTGTGGGCACCTCAGGGCTCCTACAGGTGGCATTAAGTCCCGTGTCTCTCCCTGTTTGCAGTGATATGGGTGGCCCTGATAACCTAAACTGCTCTCACTGGGAAGAGAAATCTGCATAGCAACAGTGCTGGTGGTCAGCTGCTGCACCTTGATTGGACACATCGGTGTCCAACATCAATTCTGATTGGCTGGCACCCTTCTGCCCAGAGAGCATCTGTCAACACCTGCCAATACCTGTTGGGTGGCCTCGTGGGGTCGGAGGGCAGAAGTCAGGGCCAGTTCTGCCCACAGTGGGGTTGTATTACAGAACCCCCCCCCACCCTAAACTGAAAACCTAAAGGGCTATGCTGTTGGTGTGGAAATGGGTCAGAATTAAACCTGCCCCCCATCCTGCTACAAACCCCAGGGAACTGGCCAAGAGTGACCCAAAGTTGAATGACCACAGTTCCTCAGACGTTAGAGCACCCACTCTACACCCAAGGTGGAGCTCCCTGGCTCAAGCTGTGAATTTGGGTTGAGGGAGGTCCCCACTGAGCTCCTCCCTAAGAAAGCTCCCCTTCACGCAAGCCCTCCAAGTGTTTGAAAGCCAGCGATCAATACAGTCAACGGCCAACAGGCAGAAACGAAGTGCCATGTGACATGTCATGGCAGATCCCGGCTGGCCGGCCCCAGTCGCTCCCCTCTGTCTGCCCTGCCACGCTCATCGTGACCACATGACTGAAGCCCCAACCTGGGAATGTGCAGAGTAACCTGTGCCTTCTGCACCCCACCCATGAAGCCTGGCCTGTTTGACCCTTCATGTTCTCCTCTCATTTCTGCACACCTGGCGAGGTCCCAAACAGGAGCCTTAGGAGCCACGGGCAGACGATGACACCAGGACAGCAGGGTCCGGGTCCCCTTCACCCCTGGGAGGAAAGCTGCCCAGGAGAGAAAGCCTGCAGTGCACCCACCACTCTGTGAGCAGTGAGTTTCAGCCATGGCATCTTCAGGGGTGTGATAAGCAGCTAGTGTTACAACTAGTGTAGACAGGCCATAGAGCACCTTGAGCTTGCCGTGTTTAAAGAATTAAAAGGCAAGCTTGAAAGTGTCAGCACACAGCAGAGGCTATATGAAGTGATGGCGAATTTTCAAACAGTACAGAACGGGACATTAATCAAAGGACAGGACATTTGAGGGGAAAAGTGAGATCTCAGGGACTGACTGGTGTTCTAGAAGAAGTGAGAGAAAATATGGATCAAGGACATCTGAAAGGACAGGGGCTGAGAATTCGCCAGGGTGGAAAAAAATCCAGATTCAAGAATCCCAGTGAATCCCAAGAATTAAAAAAACAAAACAAAACAAAACAAAAACGTAACCCTCACCTACACAACAGTAAATTGTCCAAGCAGCTGTAGAGAAGACAGGTTACCTTCAGGAGCAGAAGTGAGGCCGGCAGTGACCTCTCGGGGTCCCCCTGCTGTCCCCCTGTCGGGGACAGTGGTATGCTCCATGGACCCCCATGCACTGGAAGAAACAGCTGCCAGCTCAGAGTCTATACCTGCTATCAGTGTACCCCAAGAAGGACGGTTGACAGAATGACATGTTCAGACTAACCCAAACGGGGAGTTTCACCACCAGGCTCTCCCGAGGTGCTTGCTATATAAATGCAGGCTCCCTAGGCACCTGCTTTCCACCACCTGCTGAAGCTGGAATGGCTGAGGGCCCAGAGATCGGGCCACAGCCAGTGACTCAGTCTCCTGTGGATGATTTTCCAGGAGAATCAGGGAGGGCTTTGCAAGACACCATGCAGGAAAGGCTGATGGGCACCTGGCCCTAAAAATATTCCGTGCAGCCTGCTGGCAATGGGGAGCCATGGTAGGTTGTAGGCAGGGAAGTGAGAATGAACAGGCTTAGACAGATTACTCTGCAGCCAGGGAGAATGGGCCAGAGAAAGGGAAGGTCAGTGGAAGGAAACACATTAAGAAGTGGCCCCAGGAACCCACAAGAGAGGCAGAGGGTGCAGGGAAGTGTTATGATGTCCCACATGCAGCGTCCTTGCCCCACCCCAGTACGGCTGACCCGTGTGCAGTGGGTGTGCAGGTCCAGGGCTCAGAGAGAAGTCTGGGCAGGAGTGTGTGGGTGGGTGTGGGTATGTAACCAGGGGAAGGAGGTGGGCAGGTCAATTCACATGACCTCAGGAACACAGCAGTTGGAGACAAAGGAGGAAAGTGAGAAGCTAACATGTACCAACCACTTTGCAAACGACGCCCCATGTCTCCCCGTCAGCTCTCAACAGCCTGGTGAGGCCCACACAGCTCGGGGCGGCGGGGGGCACCTACAGGACCCAACAGCCTGTCAGAGGTGGAGCCAGGCCCTGACCGTGAGTGCATCTGGCAGGCCAGTCTCCCTTAGTGGGCAGGTGGAGGCAACCAGGCCCACGCTGGGAATGCAGATCTGCCCAGGACAGCCCCGGCTCTTTCCACAGCGCACAAACCTTCCTGAGCAGGTCCCCCCGCTGTCCACACATTCCCCTCCCTTCAGAAGGTTGTGTGTGATGTCGGCAAAGCGCACAGGCTTTCCAGAGGTGGCAGGGCCTTCACCTCTGAGGTGAGAACAGGGCAGGGCAGGGGTTAGCAGGTGCCTTTTCCGCATTGACTGGTACCAGCGTGCAATTTCTCTCCTGAGCCTGTGGACGTGATCGCTTATGTTAATTTTCAAAGGCTGAACCAGCCTTGCACACCTGGGACAAATCCCACTTGGTGGCAGTCTAGAATTTCTCCATTGTTGGATTCCACCCGCCAGAGCTATGACAATGCCTACCACCACCATTCACGGCACGCTGGTCTCTGGTGCTTCCCTAGAACATCTCTGTCTGATTTGGGGGTCAGGGTGAGTGAACACTCTGGAGAGCAGAGAGCGCTCGTTGCTTCCTCATGTGGTTGGTACAGCTCACCAGCACACCCCTCTGGGCCTGGTGCTGTTTGGGAAAGTTATGAGTTATAGACTCAACTTCCTTAACAGAAACAGGCTGATTTAAATCCTCTATTTCTTCCGTGTGAGTTTGGTGGACTGTCGTTCAAGGAATTGGCCATCTCATTTAGGTCAAGCTGTGACCCTGAAACTTCTCACAGCATTCCATTATTATCACCTGCACTGAGGTCCCCACCTCTGTTTCAGGGGTTAGTGATTTGTACCTCCTCTCTTTTCCATACCCAGCTTATCGATTTTACTGATCTCTTTGAAGAATCAGCTTTTGGCTAAGATGATTTTCTTTACTGAATTCCTATTTCAATTTCACTGATTTCGGTTCTAATTTTTTCTATTCTTCCTGCTTTATATATATATATATATGTGTGTGTGTGTATATATATATACACATATATATATATTTTTTAAGATTTTATTTATTCATGAGAGACAGAGAGAGAGGCAGAGACACAGGCAGAGGGAGAAGCAGGCTCTATGCAGGGTGCCTGACGTGGGACTCGATCCCAGGTCTCCAGGATCACGCCCTGGGCTCAAGGAGCTAAACTGCTGAACCACCCGGGCTGCCCTATTCTTCCTGCTTTAGATGTAAGCTGCTCTTTTTCTAGTTATCAAAGGCAGAGCCTACTGACCTGTGATGTTCGCCATCTCCTTTTTTTTTTTTTTTTTTTTTTTTTTTTTTTGGAGTTTAAACAGCACATTTATTTCGTTTTAATTTCTGGGCTGTCAGACATCAGCTCTGAAGCCCTGATTCGGAACACATGTGTTCGCCATCTCCTAATCCCTGCATTCAATGCCTAAACTTCTCTCTGAGCACGGCTTCACCCCACAAACTTCGGTAAGTTGTACTTTTACTTTAATTTAGTTAAAAATGTTTCTTTCTCTGGAGATTTCTTCGTTGACGGTGCCAGCTGCAGAGAACTCCAGGACATTTGCCTGTGGGAGCCAAAGGGGAGAATGTCCATTTCACAGATGAGAAAACAGGCTCCAAGAGGGAGTGATGTGCCCAGTATCCCACAGTTGGGAGACAGCAGAGCTGGTCCCAGTGCAGCTGTGTGGCCCCCTGGGCACCGGCCCAGGTTCTGACCATCCTCCCTTGCCCCCGCCCCCACGTTACCACCAGCACCTCTCCCTTCCTGGTCAGTTGAGACGGCAGGTTCTGAATCACTACAAGCATATGGTGATCCTGCAGGTTCAGAGGCTGGAGACCTGGCCTTGGTCCGACCTGGGGTCATTATCACCAGGGATTAGAATCCAGGGCTGGACACTCTCCAGCCTGAGCTATTGTCTCTCTGATGCCTGGGCATTCCTGGGGCACAGTGGGGTGGAGACCCCCCTGACCCACAGCCATGAAGCACATGGCTGTCCGGCAGAGAAATCTTCCCCCAGATGCTGCTTTTCCAAAGCCCCACTGGGCCTGGGACCTACCCCTGGGCAGTATTAGAACACAGGCTAACTCAGGGACACCATCAAATGCCATTTATTTTGAGTAAAAAATAAGCCACTTCTTTAATAATACATCAAGATGGACTCTTCAACCTTGCTGGGCTCACCTGGTCCCGGTCTCCCTGAATAGTCCCTCGTGCAGCCAGGTCAACCAGAGATCTCAGGACAACAGTCCCAAGGAAGGGACGTGGCACAGGGGAGAGGGACACTGGGGACGCTGCCACTGGGCTGGCTCAGTAGCAGTCGGCCTCGTTCTCACCCAGGACGCCCACCGTGGCCAGCATGTCCTGCAGGAGTGACTGAGGGCTCTTCTCCATGTGGTCACTGCCCTCGGCTAACGCACCCCGAAGGCCTTCCAGGTCCACAGACCTCAGCACAGCCAGCACGACCTCGGGCTCCAGGTCCCCCAGGGGCTGGCCCTGATCACCTGCCTGCCACCTCTGCAAGGCAGCCTCCACGGAGGCCACATCTGGGCCGCTCCTGGACTCCTGCAGGCTACCAGAGGAAGAAGCAGTCTTGGCCCTCAGGAAGAGGAGGAGATCACAGGACTTCTGAGCCACAGGTCGGTCACAGTCAAACAAGGCACGGAAGGCAAACTCAAAGAGCCGCACTCGGCATAGTGGCTGCAGGGCCTGGGCCAGTGGGCCAGCTGGGGCCGCCACGGGTGGGGTCACAGCATAGGGACAGTGGGAGTGGAACTGGCCCAGTGTCTGCTCCAGGAATACCAGCGCCAGCTCCAGGCCCTGGGCCCGGACCTCCCAGTCCAGATCCTGGCTGGCGACCTGGAGCACCCTGGCCATAAAACTGTTCTGTGTCCCCCGCCACGTCAGCATGGTGGTCCCTCAGCCACTGGGTGAAGACCTGCATGACGGCTCTCCGCGGGAATCCCTCTGAATCTGTGGAGAGGATATGCAGAAGCTCCAAGAGCAGACTCTTCTGGAAGACAGAGCAAGAGGCGGTGGGAGGGGAGAGGGGAGACAGAGCCACCGCTGACAGGCGCGGGTTACAGCAGGGAAGATCCGCCCCCCCAAGAATCTTCTGTCACGCAGGTCTGGGGCTAAACCTGCTTCTCCCCTCATCCCTCCATTTGCTCATGTATCAAAAAGGAGTGCTTGGAAGTAGAGCCAGATTCAGATAATGTGTCCAATAGAACCCTGGCCCCAGACTGCCTGAGACCGAGTGGCCAACCCACTGGACCCTGTGCATCAAGACAGCTGCCAGGTGTGGGCTACCTGGCCTGGGGACCCATAGCCTCCTACCTGCTGGCCCCCTGGGTGCTCAGGGCTCACAGGGGTGACATGCAGCCCCTGGCTGGAGAGCTGCCCCATGACGGTCACTGCACTGGCACGGACGTAACTCTCAGGGTCTCGTAGGAGCTGCTCGGTAAGCTTGGGCACCTCCGAAGCGAGGAGTGCATGTCTGAAGCCAGCCTGCCCTGGGAGGGTCCAAGCGGCCACACTGGCTGTGACCAAGGCCCAAGTCCAAAGCCTCCTCCCTTGCTTCCCCAAGGGCAGCCTAGGTGGTCTGCTTCCCAAAGCCGACAAGAGACAACCAGTGTGGCAAGGTCGGGTCCCCCTATGCCCTGTACTCACCTCCCCAGTGTCTGGTCATCTGAGTCAGGAACTCGAGGCCGGAGTCCCTCACCTCCCAGCAGGGGCTGCACAGACGCTTCTGCAGCACAGGAAGCAGCTCTGGGGCAGGAGGGGCAGCTCAGAGTGGCCCAGGCCATGCCCATCCTGCCCCCAACTACCTCTACCCGGCGACTCCCTTGGGTTTACCTGGGAAGGGCCAAGATTACCTCTCAGGACCAGCAGAGCATGGGGTTCTAGATCATAGCAGCCGGGGGTCTTGGGTGAGCTCAGGAGCCACCTGAATGTGGCCTGGAAGGCTTTCTTCAGAACCTGGAGCAGGCAAAGCAGGGCTGCAGGGCCAGGAGTGGTGAGGGGCCGAGCTGGCCTGCCTGCCCCCATCTGCCCACGCTGCACTCCTGTGCCTGCCCTAGGACACAAGAGGGGACCCCGGGGTATGGTGAGAAGGAAGCACTGGCTTTCATTTCCACAAGGCAGAAGCACCAGGTAGGGGCAGAACTGACATCGCGGATCCCGATAGAAGGAGGCGGCTCCCATAAGGTCCCTGACTGCCGGAGAGACTCCCCAGACCCCCTTTCCAAGGCCCAGGAATCCACCATGCCTTCTGTCCCATCCTCTAACCGTCTGCTCAATGGCAGGGGGCAAACATGCCGCACCCACCAGAGCACAGCCACCACGGGGCCACAGGGAGACCACGTTTGCAGAAAACTCTGACGAAGAGTTTGGATCCCAAGTGCAGAGGCCATCTGGCTCCAGTTCCCCACTGCGCCAGAGCATGCTCTGTTCCCATGGTTCAGCTCCCCTGGTGCCCAATCCTCACCACTGCTAGGCCCTGGGTCAAACCCCGTGCCGCTGCCTGCCCCTCCAAACTCACTTTAAGAAGTGACTCTGGGGGCACCTGGGTGGCTCAGTCGGCTAAGCGTCCAACTCTTGGTTTCAGTTCAGGTCATGATCCCAGGGTTGTGAGAACCGAGCCCCAGTCGGGCTCTGCGCTCAGTGCACAGTATGCCTGAAACTCTGAAACTCTCTCCCCACTCCTCTTCCCCAACACTTTCTCTAAATGAATCTTAAAAAAAAAAAAAAAAAGGAGCAACTGTGGCCCACAGAGACCTGGTTCTGAGAGGCCTGCAGGGGTCCTCCCCAGACATCTCCCCATTCCCCCCGCCCCCCTGCACCCCATGCTTGTACCGTGGGGCTGGAGTCTGGGCTCCTGAGATATTCCAGAAGGACAGCAAACACCTCCGTCACCAGCTCTTGGGGGCCTGAGACAGACATGGAGAAAGAACCCACCCTTCCCTTCCAGGGGCCTCCCCAGCACAAAAGCGCGTCAATCCAAGGAAAGCAGGGGCAGAACAAGTCAGACAGCCGAACTCCACCCCTACCCCAGAGAGAACATGCAAAGGACATTGATCCCCGGTGCAGCTGAGCAGCAGGTGAGCAGGGCCTGCGGGGGCACTGTGGCTTACCTGTCCCCTGAGACAGCGTCCCCAGGAAATCCAGGGCCGCCCGCTGCACCCGCACGCAGCCCAGCAGGAGTGCGCAGAGGTGGCGCCCCACGTCAGAGGCAGGGCTTGCTGAGCCCCTGCATAACTGCAGCAGGGTCACCGCGGCCCCAAGCAGGGGCTCCTGAGGCCAGGGGCAGGGGCGCTGGGGCTGGGAGAGAGAGCAGGTCAGTGCAGGCCCCGATTCCGGCTGCCACTGCGGACATGGGCCAGGACTGCACTTACTAGCGGCTGCAGCAGCTCCAGGTGGGCCAGAGTCCGGCACAGGAGACCCACACAGGCCGCCTTGGAGGAGAGGAGCAGGTCCACTGTCAGAGAGTCACCTGTGGCACTGTCCAGCACATCTGCAGGCCAAGCCAGAGGCAGCTCCCAATCAGCGGGTGCCTCCACTTGGCCACTGTAGGCCTCGCTAAGGGCCATCGACCCCGCGGCTGCCACCACACACTGGAGACCAGGACCGGGTGTTCCCAGCAGGTGACATGCCCAGGATGACACAGGCTGGCCAGAGCTGGGCTCTGAACCATCGAGCCTAGCTCTGGCCACAGCCTGTTCCTGGGCCAGTCCCACTACTTGGGATACTCGTCCCTGTGCTCAACATGGGGGTACGAGGCACACCTGGGTCCCCTTTGCTAATCCTCGACACACCGACACACTTCATAGCTGAAGCAACGTGAGTCACAGCAGGGGAAGCCACCCCCCTCCCCACTACCACCCTGGTCACAGAAACCACCATGTGGTTCAGGTCCACATGAACACCCAGCTGCTCTGGGGCCACCCTGGACAGCACACGGGGGGGTGGGTGATGCTGCCTCGTGAATCCCAGCAGGGACACGAGACAAGCAGCAGTAACGCTTGTGACAACAACCTACACCCATCCACCTGCACTCGGCAGAGGCAGCGAGCTAGGTACCATGCTGGTCACTGCCCCAATATAAAGGACATGTCTGGGACCCCAGGGGCCTCCCATCCTATACCTGTCTACTCTCAGGAAGCAGCATACCTGAGGGTCCGGGGTCCTGACCTGTGGCTTTAAGGATGCAGGCCAGAGGCTGGAGAAGAATGACAAAGGCCTGGGCCCTCAGCACCTGTGGACTAAGCACAGAGGACACGGTGAGTGCCGCTTCCTGACCCTGACCTCTCCACCAAATCTGGAGCAAAGAGGCCAGTGCAGGGGATCTGGACACCCCCTTGAGAAACAGCTTCCTTGCAAGCACTGTGACCAGCACTCAGGCCACCAGTACACAGGCCAGCAATGTGGGACTCCATGGGAGCTGTTGGAAAGTACTTCCCCAGGCCCCAGGAAGAGCCCCTTGAAGGACAGGCCTGCTCCAATGGACAGTATCTACTCAGGGCCAGGGACAGGAGGCCCACCTCCAGGGAGTGTTCTTGGGCTCACGGTGGGGCGAGAGGCTAAGCCAGCACATCATTCTCTCCTGTAGGCCAGCTGCCCGGTCCTCCCCCTGCGGACCACTACCTCACCCTGAACATCTGGAGAGCCTGAAGCCCAGAAGCAGGCTTGCACCATACCCTAGTACCTCTGGGGAGTGGGTCCTGTGGTGACCTTCACCCCTAACCTGGGCCAACATGACCACCTCTCATCTGCCCAGAACCCTGGAAACACTTACTCATTCCTCCCATCTCTCTAGGCTCACGTACCCTTTCCTCTCCCTGCAGGAAGCTGTCCAGCCACTCCTGCCCACTGGGTCCCCCTCTACCTTCCCAGGGCCCCTAGTCCCTACCCCATTGACATGCATGCCATGCTGAGGCCGCTAAAGTGGGGAGCAGATCCTGGGTACGAACCTAACCCTGCTCAGAATGGAACAGCTCCAAGCCTCTGTTTTATCTCTGGGGAGCCTATACAGTTTTTCATTGAAAACATTCTGTCACTATAGCACGTAGAAGCCATAGCCTCCAGTAAGACCTTGGTAATAACCAAGTTATGGCCCAGCCATACCCCAATGGCCGCCTCCGACCCTTCTCTGGTGTCAGAAGTTCCCCAAAAGGTCCCTGACCACGAGGGCTATGCTTCAGACCCCTCTGCCTGTCCTCGCATAAAACAAACCCCAATCCTTACCAGTCCCGCAGTTTCAGGATCCCTAACGCCAGCGGCCCTGCTTGAGTAGGGCTCAGATGGTTCAGAGTCTGAGCCAGAGTCTCCCACAGGCCGCAGCTAGAAGAGCTCAGCCCAGGAGAACTGCAGAGAAGCCCAGAAAGATAGTTAGTTCTCTGTCCTGCCCACCAAAGCCCATGAAGCACCCAGCGGGACTGCCACAGCCCTGGCTTGGGGCATGCCCAGCTGAGACAGAGTCCTTCCTAGGTGGGTGGGCTTTCAGATCCCCTCTGGCATTCCCCTGCTCCAGGCAGTGCCCTGGTTGGGCCCATGAGATGTGCCTCAGGTGTAACAGCTACCCTAAGACTCCCCAAGGGAAATAGTGCCCCCAACTCCTGCCCACCCCCGGATGCACCCCAGAGGAACTGACCGGGCCACACTGAGGAGGAGGTCCACGAGCGAGTGTGCAGCTGGGACAGGGTCTTTCTCAAGTAGACTGCCTACTAGGGGACTCAGCCGTACCCACAGAACTTGTGTCCAAGAGTCATGGCAGTGCCCGAACGTGGTGGTCAGGACGTTTAGAGCCTGTGTGATCTGAGGGACGGCTGTGGAGTGCAGGGACTCTTCTATGTGACCCACGATCTTCTGGGCACACACTGGCCAATCACCAGCCTGCAGGCTGGGGTGTCCCTCGGCTAGGCCTTGCATGGACAAGCCCAGGATGTGCACCAGGAGCTGCCCAGCTGCCGAGGCCACAAACAGGCTGGAATCTCCCTGCAGGGAGAAGATGGTGTCAACGGCACCTGGGGAAGGGATAGGGGCAAGGAGAGAAGAAAATGGGCTTCAGCTGGAACAGAATCCAAGGTAGAGGGCAGAGATGCTAAAACCACCAGGCGGCTTTAACTGCCAGACTTGGGAGCCTCAGGGAAAGGGCCCGAATGCAGCAAGCCACAAGAGGCACCGCTAAGGCCCCAGCCTCCCCTCTGCTTAGAGGCAGGGGAACCAGCACGGAGGGCACCAAGGGGGGCAGCTTTAGACCCTTGGAAGGAAGCTTTTGATTCTAATTAGTTTCAAAGTCAACCCTAACTGCTGGGTCTGACCTGTAAGCCAAAGGACACTGCAGTGACCTCAAGGAGCCTCAGGCCCCCCAGTCACCCCGGGTGCCCCTCACAACAGCCCCATGACATCATAGCTGCTTTCCCAGATGAGCCCAGCAAGGTGCAGTGAGGTTGCATAGGTATGGCAAGGCCACGGGCTAAAGGCGGGGCAGGCAAGGGCACTCACCACAGTCAGCCAGGAAATGCAGGGCACTAGGATGCTGTGCCAGGGAGCGCAGGCCCTGGATCCAGCCACTGCGCACTGAGGGGGCAGTCCAGGCGGCTCCTCCCAGGGGCCCTGGCTCCCCAAAGAGCCTGGGCAGCAACTCCCCGTGCTGGGAAGTACAGAAGGAAGTGGTGACGTGGGCCCACTATGACGTTCCCATAGGCGGGCAGATCATAGACAATTTTTCTGTTGTTCGGGGCTGGTCAAGGCACTTTTCTAGGCACTTTCTCACTTGCTGCCAACACAGGGAGCCCACAGGCAGCTGTGCTTCCGGGAAGTGGCAGGTGGCCACCAGTGCCAGCCATGGCAGCCCAGGCACGGCCAAGTCTGCCTTCCAGGGTACAGCTTTGGGAGAACTGGGTTTTAAACAAAGGTTCATCAATCCTGTTGTTGGTTTACTTTAGAAATCCTCTCCCCAAAACAGTACCATGAGTTTCACCTCCAAAAGTCCACCTCTGACCAGGACGTCGGACTCACAGACCCCTGATAGACTCCAAAGCCTACTGAACTCCTGAGCTGGGCATGTGGGGTCCACCAAGGCACTCACTCTCCTCTGGGTATCCCCCACTCCAGATGCCCCAGCACACCTGTTGTGCCCGGCCCGCCTCACTCCCTGTACCTGTTCAAACCCTTTACAAACCAGCTGCGAGCCCACTGCCCCCACAAAGCTAACCCCTCCCCGCCCCCACCCCGCTGGCAGTGGCTAACTCCCCACTCAAGTTCCACCAGCTTAGGGATGCCCAGAGTACAATCATGCATTGTGCTACATTTGCTGCCATGTGTACAAGATTCTCCACCACTACTGGTTTCAACACAGTATGCTGCCTCTTACCAGGGCAGTCAGTGCTCGCTGGTGCAGCTATTCCCTCTGAGCCTATCTGCACAACAGGCACGGCAGTCAGAGCCCAGGCAGGCCATTACCAAGCCAGGCCACGGAGCATCCTGATTGGCTCTGGCCCAACCATCAAGGTACAAGGGCCTTCCAATCATCTCAGACTCCAGGATCAGGGACCGAGCCTGGGTCAGGGACCGAGAGACCTTGGAGACAGGCTCCACCCACTCAGGGATTAAGTCTAACTCTATAGCAGTCACGGGCCCCTGAGGGGGTGCCACTGCTAGCAGCTCACAGGGAAGGCCCCCTGTGGGGTCTGTTGTCATCAAAGAGGGCCCCCCCCCCCCGAAGTTACAGTTCCTCACCAGAAGGTGGGTAGAGAGGTTTCTGTCACCAAAGGAAGGTACAGCCCTTCACCAGTAGGTGGGTACAGAGCTCAGCCCCCTGCCTGGAGCTGTCCACTGCAGAGCAGCTGGCTGGTGAGGAGCCCGTGGGGCTGTAAGACTACCCGGGAGTGTGTGCAGGGGCAGCTAAGGAGGGAACAGGAGGCCAGCCTGGCACTGCGGCCCTCGACCCTCGTGTAGCCAGCAGCAGACTCTCTATGGTCTAGTGTGAACACTGCCACTTCCGTGAGGCTCCTAGAGTAAGCCTCCCCTGTTTCCTCATCTGGGAAATAAAGGCCATTGGTCTGCTGACTGGCCAGGGCTGCCAGGATAAAACAAAAGTGATTCTGCAAACCCTGAAGAGCTCCATAAGCCGCAAGGTACCACGGGTACGTGTGCGTTATCCTATGTACCATGAGGACAGCAAGCACAAAGTTATGCCCCAAAACACTTTGGCATAGTAAGGTGCCAGAGAACATCCTGGAAAGTCAGTCCACAGCAAGCTGTGCTGAGCCATGCCTCTGGAGGATCTGCTTTGCCAGACTGAGGAGCATCCATGAACAGCATCCCAAGGCTACTGAAAGAACACATCCCTCCCCACTACTGTCCTCTCTTCAGGTGACTGTATCATAGCATGGCCTTCCTGGGGCCCTGTGCACACCAGGTCAGAGAAAGTTAATGTGCTTTCCCCAAGAGCTGGTGAGGCTCTGAGAGGTGCCAAGAGAAGCCAATAAAGGGCTAGACAGGCTCCTTCAGGCATCGCCTAACCAACCCAGCTGTGCCCACGTAGGAGCATGCAAAGTTGTGAGGTGCAGTGCTCTGGGGAGCTCCCCAAACTCCATGTCTATCACTAAGTAGAAATTTTTATGAGTCATTCATTCATTCAGCCAACAGGACCAAGTGGGAGACCGACAGTCTTGGTTAGCCCTTTGTGACAGTTCCACATGATGTGTACAACTCTCCTGTCTGTCACAGGAGGAAACTAAGGCTCAGAGGGCTCGTGAACTTGGGCAAGTCCACACAGCAGGCCAAGTGTCAGAACTGAGCCAACCCCTGCTCTGTCTGATTCCAAAAACCTGACCCTTTCACCTCAACATCATTCTTGGCCAGTTTTTCAAAGAAGGTTCACATTCAGGAATAAAAACCCCATGATATAAGACAAAACATGGGTCAGCACATTTCAGAGGCCTAGGGATCATTACGGCCACCACTGCTTGGTGTACCTGCAGCAAAAGCAAGCTGTGCACTTCCCTGTGGGTCCCTCAGCTGGGAAGACCCCGGCTCACCTGAAGATACTGGAAGCAATCTTCCTGGGCTGCAAATACCCCTGCGAGGCGGAGCGAGAAGGAGAGGACTCTGGAACTCAGGTCCTGGGGTTTCAGCACATGACACAGCAGCTCCACCAGACAGGGGTTCTCCTGTAATAACAGGAGACTGGACCCTGGGGGCAGGCCCAGCCAGGGCGAGTGTCACTGGGGCACAGTGATGCAGCTTTCTCTAAAGGACTGTTCGTTCATTTTCCTTCTTTCTTTCTTTCTTTCTTTCTTTCTTTCTTTCTTTCTTTCTTTCTTTCTTTTCTCTCTTCTTTCTTTCTTTCTTTCTTTCTTTCTTTCTTTCTTTCTTTCTTTCTTTCTTTCTTTCTTTCTATTTATTTATTTATTTATTTAGAGAAAGACCGTGCAGGCACACATGTGCACAAGTAGGGGGAGGAATAGCGGGAGAGGGAGACAGAGAATGTGAAGCAGACTCCCCTTTGGCACGGAGTCTGACTGCTCCATCCCACGACCCTGAGATCATGACCTGAACCAAAATCAAGAGTTGGACACTTAACTGACTGAGCCAGCCAGGCACCCCGTAAAGGACCATTCTTCTGGCAACTCCCAGACCTTCTTCTCCCCCGATATTAGGTTTAGCAATCCCACCAAGAGAAAACATTTGCAACAACTGCAACAAGGGAGTCATGACTTGAACTTGATGGGAGGGCAGGAAGTAGAAAGCCATCACCTCCACATCAGGTAAGGGACCAGGACAGGAAATAGAAGTGTCTAGCAAACCAAAACAGGCATTCCTGTTGCTGCTGGTTACAAAAAAAGGAAATGCAAATTAAAGCAGAAGACCACTTTTACCTCCCAAGTGGGTGCTTTTCTTTCATACTCAGAGTGCTGTCCGCAAGGAAGTACAATGGAACAGCCATCCTCACCCAGATGCGGCACCAGAGTTGTCTATACTCCTCGATGCTCCTATTCAAAGGTACTCAGGTTGGTTAAGGGGACTGTGTGGCACAGGCTGAGACAGTTTCCTGTTAAGAGGCCCTTGCTGGGGATCCCTGGGTGGCGCAGCGGTTTGGTGCCTGCCTTTGGCCCAGGGCGCGATCCTGGAGACCCGGGATCGAATCCCACATCAGGCTCCCGGTGCATGGAGCCTGCTTCTCCCTCTGCCTGTGTCTCTGCCTCTCTCTCTCTCTCTCTCTGTGACTATCATAAATAAATAAAAATTAAAAAAAAAGAGGCCCTTGCTGACACAACCATCAACAAATGTGGTTCAGGGAGAATGAAAGAGAACAGCATAAGGAAGAGAGAATCATGAATCCAAGAAGCCAATAAACACATGGTTGAATTTAAAAACGCACCAATTTTAAATACTAAGTAACTTTTTGATGGGTCTTAAGACAAGATAGACTCAAAATGCCAGACAGTAACAGTTAGACTGTGCTGGAGTTAAAGGGCCCTGAGATCCTTGTGTCAGTGGAATGGAGGATAGAGATTCTAGTTAACTTCTGACTTTTTTTTAACTTTTGACTTTTTAAATCCAGTTTGTATGTGAGAGTCACCACTAAAGAACCTAAGTGGAATGCATAATTTCAAAACCAGAAAATGAAAAACTTTAAAAACAAAGCTTTATCCATCCAATGCAAGGCAGAAAGGAGGGGAAAGAAACAAAGACAAGGCATGGGAAGTTCTAAAAAATCCAAAAGAGGGCAGCCTGGGTGGCTTAGCAGTTTAGCGCTGCCTTTGACCCAGGGTGTGATCCTGGAGACCCGGGATTGAGTTCCACATCAGGCTCCTTGCATGGAGCCTGCTTCTCCCTCTGCCTGTGTCTCTGCCTCTGTCTCTCTGTGTCTCTCATGAATAAATAAATAAAATAATTTAAAAAAAATCCCAAAGAACATAGGTTCAAATAGAATAAACAGTAGGCTCAACAAATGAAGAAGATCATCTGTTAGGGTGCTGCTCATATTAAATTGAGACTAAGCCAGCTGCATAATGTTATAGACCAGAGGAAGCAGGACAGTACAGAAGGGCTAGGAGTACAGCAGCGAGGGTGCAGCATGCAGGTTCCTGCCTTAGAAGGGCAGTTGCATCAAGAAGAACATCTGACAATGTGACTTGAAAGCAAAAAGCACCTTCAGTGCTTCAAGAAGAAAGTCATCGTTCAAACGTAGAACAGTCTAAGCCTGCAGGTACCTAAGCTAGCTTCAAGATCTGTAAAGGAGGGGGAGGGGCAAGATGGCGGAAGAGCAGGGTCCCCAAATCACCTGTCCCCACCAAATTACCTAGATAACCTTCAAACCATCCTGAAAATTTACGAATTCGGCCTGAGATGTAAAGAGAGACCAGCTGGAATGCTACAGTGAGAGGAGTTCACGCTTCTATCAAGGTAGGAAGACGGGGAAAAAGAAATAAAGAAACAAAAGGCCTTCAAGGGGGAGGGGCCCTGCGAGGAGCCGGGCTGAGGCCGGGGCGAGTGTCCCCAGGACAGGAGAGCCCCGTCCCGGAGGAGCAGGAGCTGCACCAACCTTCCCGGACGGGCGGAAAGGGGCTCGCAGGGAGTTGGAGCAGGACCTAGGAGGGCGGGGATGCCCTCGGGCTCCCGGGGACACTAACAGACACCTGCGAGCGCAGGGGAGTGCTCCGAGCTCCCTAAGGGCTGCAGCGCGCACGGAGGGACCGACAGGGACCGGAGCAGCTCGGAGGGGCTCGGGAGCGGCTCCAGGGAGGGAGCTGCGGGGCGGGAGCGCGAATCCACCAGCGCAGGCCCCGGAGCACAGGGCGCCGGGACACAGCCCAGGATCCGGCCTCCCCCGGGACAGGCAGAGGCCGGGAGGGCCCAGGACAGCAAGGACGCTCCTGCCCCGAGCTGAGCAGATCAGTGGCCCCGCCCCGGAGCCTCCAGGCCCTGCGGACGGAGAGCCGAGAGCCCCGAGCCCGCCCCGTAGTTCCTGCGGAGGCTGAATCCAGGCTTCCAGAGTTGCCATAGCAACTGCGACTGTTCCTCCTGGGGCCCCACGGGGTAAACAACCCCCGCTGAGCCCTGCAGCAGGCAGGGGCAGAGCAGCTCCCCCAAGTGCTAACACCTGAAAATCAGCGCAACAGGCCCCTCCCCCAGAAGACCAGCTAGAGGGACCAGTGATACTCCCCCGTGTTCCAATACAACTTGTTTTTGGCCACTCTGCACTGAGCAAAATGACTAGAAGGAAAACCTCACCTCAAAAGAAAGAATCAGAAACAGCCCTCTCTCCCACAGAGTTACAAAATCTGGATTACACTTCAATGTCAGAAAGCCAATTCAGAAGCACTATTCTACAGCTACTGGTGGCTCTAGAAAAAAGCATTAAAGACTCACGAGACTTCATGACTGCAGAATTTAGATCCAATCAGGCAGAAATTAAAAATCAATTGAATGAGATGCAATCCAAACTAGAAGTCCTAACGACGAGGGTTAACGAGGTGGAAGAACGAGTGAGTGACATAGAAGACAAGTTAATGGCAAAGAGGGAAACTGAGGAAAAAAGAGACAATCAATTAAGGGACCATGAAGACAGATTAAGGCAAATAAATGACAGTCTAAGGAAGAAAAACCTACGTTTAATTGGGGTTCCCGAGGGCGCCGAAAGGGCCAGAGGGCCAGAATATGTATTTGAACAAATCCTAGCTGAAAACTTTCCCAATCTGGGAAGGGAAACAGGCATTCAGATCCAGGAAATAGAGAGATCCCCCCTAAAATCAATAAAAACCGTTCAACACCTCGACATCTAATAGTGAAGCTTGCAAATTCCAAAGATAAAGAGAAGATCCTTAAAGCAGCAAGAGACAAGAAGTCCCTGACTTTCATGGGGAGGAATATTAGGGTAACAGCAGACCTCTCCACAGAGACGTGGCAGGCCAGAAAGGGCTGGCAGGATATATTCAGGGTCCTAAATGAGAAGAACATGCAACCAAGAATACTTTATCCAGCAAGTCTCTCATTCAAAATGGAAGGAGAGATAAAGAGCTTCCAAGACAGGCAGGAACTGAAAGAATATGTGACCTCCAAACCAGCTCTGCAAGAAATTTTAAGGGGGACTCTTAAAACTCCCCTTTAAGAAGAAGTTCAAGTAACTCTGAACGTGAATGGGCTTAATGACCCCATCAAAAGGCGCAGAGTTTCAGACTGGATAAAAAAACAGGACCCATCTATTTGCTGTCTACAAGAGACCCATTTTAGACAGAAGGACACCTACAACCTGAAAATAAAAGGTTGGAGAATCATTTACCATTCAAATGGTTCTCAAAATATACCCTAAAAACTACAGAACACTTCTGAAAGAAATTGAGGAAGACACAAAGAGATGGAAAAATATTCCATGCTCATGGATTGGCAGAATTAATATTGTGAAAATGTCAATGTTACCCAGGGCAATTTACACGTATAATGCAATTCCTATCAAAATACCATGGACTTTCTTCAGAGAGTTAGAACAAATTATTTTAAGATTTGTGTGGAATCAGAAAAGACCCCAAACAGCCAGGGGAATTTTAAAAAAAGAAAACCATATCTGGGGGCATCACAATGCCAGATTTCAGGTTGTACTACAAAGCTGTGTTCATCAAGACAGTGTGGTACTGGCACAAAAACAGACATATAGATCAATGGAACAGAACAGAGAACCCAGAAGTGGACCCTGAACTTTATGCTCAACTAATATACGATAAAGGAGGAAAGACGATCCACTAGAAGAAAGACAGTCTCTTCAATAAATGGTGCTGGGAAAATTGGACATCCACATGCAGAAGAATGAAACTGGACCACTCTCTTGCACCATACACAAAGATAAACTCAAAATAGATGAAAGATCTAAATGTGAGACAAGATTCCATCAAAATCCCAGAGAAGAACTCAGGCAACACCCTTTTTGAACTTGGCCACAGTAACCGGAGAAGGACAAACAGTGTATGTTCTCATTCATTTGGGGAATATGAATAATAGCGAAAGGGAATATAAGGGAAGGGAGAAGAAATGTCTGAGAAATATCAGAAAGGGAGACAGAACATAAAGACTTCTAACTCTGGGAAACGAACTAGGGGTGGTGGAGGGGGAGGAGGGTGGGGGGTGGGGGTGAATGGGTGACGGGCACTGAGGGGTACACTTGACGGGATGAGCACTGGGTGTTATTCTGTATGTTGGTAAATTGAACACCAATAAAAATTAATTTATAAAAAAAAAAAGATCTGTAAAGGAAAAATCCAAGCAGAGTTTCAGAGAAAAACTGTTGAATCCACAATCTCAGGGTAGGGTCTTCCCATCTCAGAAACAATCAAGCAAACCAATTAGCAAGAACACAGTGAGCTTGAACCAGGGCGATCTGAACTAAGGAGCGCGTGTGAAGACCATTCTCATTGTGCAGAATGCTGAGGCCATGGGGCACAGGCCCGCGTCCTTTAAGGGACGGACAGTGCTGCAAAATTACACTGTGGCAATGGCTGTACCAAGCCCCCTGTGTGTGAATTTTCTGAAAACCAATCAACTGTATACTTTGGGTCAATTCCATGGTATGTAAATTATATCTCAAAGAAACCTGTCTAAAAGTAATTTTTAGGGCAGCCCTGGTGGCGCAGCAGTTTGGTGCTGCCTGCAGCCTGGGGTGTGATCCTGGAGCCCTGGGATCGAGTTCCATGTCGGGCTCCCTGCATGGAGCCTGCTTCTCCCTCTGCCTGTGTCTCTGTGTCTCTCATGAGTAAATAAATAAAATCTTTAAAAAAATAATAATAAAAAAATAAAAGTAATTTTTAATTTTGACTACAAACTAGGCCACCACTGAAGACTCTACAAATACCAGAAATGCAGCAGGTAGCGAAATCTATAGAATGTCTGAGAAAATAGGGTACTCTACCATGGTAAGAGCCTCGACGGATACAAAGAAATCAAAATACAGGTATTTTAAAGTCTAATAAGTTAGAAATCAATAATAAGACTGAAGAAAACCCCACGTTGTAAATCTAAAAGAAACCCTTTTAAATCGTTTGTGTGTAAAGAAAAAAATCACAATGAAGAGTATGAAATACTTGGAAACAAACTACAGCAAAAGTACAGAGCAGTAAAACCTGTGGGGTGCAGCTTCCAGGGAAGTGTGCAGCCTTACATGCATGTATTAGAAAAGACCTAGATGTTCAATTCAAAGGAGGGTAAAAAAGCAGGTAGACCAAATGAACAAATAGCAGGAATTAATGATGGGTGCTATCCTAAGATCACTGGTAGTCAAGAGATCAAACGCCAGTAGGGCACTATTTACACTGGGGAACATCAGAAACACAAACACCTAGTAACAGTGGTGTGATTGTGTAAGTTATGGTCCATTCATACAGTGGACACCAGATAGTCAATAAAATCAACATGTTCTACAGAGAAAACACTCACTGTAGTGCTAACAGAGAAAAAGCAAGGGGCGCTGGGTGGCTCAGCTGGTAAAGTGTCTGCCTTTGGCTCAGGTCATGATGAGTCCCCCATCAGGCTCCCGGCTCAGCGAGGGGAGCTGGTTTCTCCCTCTGCCCCCACCCTACTTGCGCATGCGCTCATGCTCTCTCTCAAAAAAAAAAAAGAATAAAATATTTAAAAAAGAGAGAGGAAAAAAGCAAGACACCATATCGTATTTATGGCGTGACTTTGCTTTTATAAGAAAATGCAGCTTTGGGGCACCTGGGTGGCTCAGCTAGTTAAGTGACACTTGATTTCAGCTCAGGTCCCAATGTCGGGGTTGTAGAATCCAGACACTTGTGGGGCTCCATGCTCAGCACAGAGTCTGCTTGAGATTCTCTCTCTCCCTCTGCTCCCTCTCTCGATAAATAAACAAAATCTTCTTAAAAAAAAAAAAAAAAGACAGGGCAGACTGGGTGGCTCAGTGATTTAGCACTGCCTTCAGCCCAGGGCCTGATCCTGGAGACCCGGGATCGAGTCCCACGTCGGGCTCCCTGCATGGAGCCTGCTTCTCCCTCTGCCTGTGTCTCTGCCTCTCTCTGTCTCTCTCTGTGTGTATCTCTCATGAATAAATAAATAAAATCTTAAAAAATAAAGAAAGAAAAAAAGACAAATGCAGCTTTATGACACATTAAGAAAACGGGCTGGAAGGAAATTTAAAAGATGGTAGTTTAATTTTCCTCTTTACTCTTTTGTGTTGTTCAAGGTTTATCTAAAGGATACACATTAGTTTCATAACAAAAAATGATTTCCTAAAGCAGACACACAAATGCAACAGTAACAACAAGGTAAGCTCCTCGTTGCCCTCACAGCCATCTAGAGTGAACTGGAGGAGGAGGCCTGGACCAGGGCAGGAAGCAGCTGAGAGTACCAAGATCAAGCTCTCCTGCTCATTCCCTCAGACTTCAACTGATGCTGTCCCCAACTCGCCAGGCGGCCTCTCTAGGATGCAAGGAAGGGAACCAGAGGGTCCCTCCTTCCCCTGTCCAGGAGAGTCCCATGCACCCTCTGGCCTTCCCGAGAACAGTCGACAGCAGCATCCTCCCCTTACCAGCTTTGGTTATCGTTTTGAACCAATCCAGCAGCTTCTCCAAACAGGTGTCATCTGCCACGGGCTGCCTGGGGTCTGCCAGAACTGCACAGAGAGCCGGGAGGAGCTGGGAGCACTCTGGGTCCATGGTGATGCTGGAGATTCCTGCAAAGAAAACGTCCGGGCCAGGTCCCACCCACCCTGGCCCCAGGCAGCCACTCCCCCAGCCTGGGTCCCCCCGGGGCTGGACGCTAGACCTCGGCCTGGGTGGTCCTGGCAGGTGGTGAGGAGCAAGCAGGGCCCTGAGCTCGGGGCCTGAGGAGCTCCGGGCCTGCCGGCCTTGGACCCTGGTGGGAGGGGGGCGTGGGCCGGCGCCGGCCACGCTCAGGGGCAGAGCTTCTCCGCCAGGGTCGCGCGTCTGCCCCGAAGGCGCTCGGTCCACCGTCGCCCCGCCCCCCGGGCCGGGGCGTGCACCTGCCAGTCCTGCCGCGGCGGGGACCGGGAGCCCGGTGGCAGGCGCTCAGGCCGCGCGCGGTCGGGAGGCTGGGGTGGGCAAGGACTCCGTCGCTCCGTCCGGGGGAGTGTCTGTCTGTCTGTCCGACTGCGGGGAAGCTGGGTCCCTAAGGAGGGAGCCCTCCTTGCGGGAGCCGCCGCCGCCCCGGCCGGCCGAGAGGCCCACAGAAGGCACGAGGCGGAGATGTCCGTCGGGCCGGCCCCCGGCTGCCCGCGGAGCCCGGGCCCCCCCGCCGGCCTGCACCGAGCCCCCCCCCCGCGGCCGCGACCCCTCCCGGGCTCGCCGCTCACCTGCTCCGCGGGCCCCCGGCGCCGCAGGCCCCGCCCCGGACCGCACCACTGGCCGGGCCTGGCGGGGGCGCGCAGACGGACGGCGGCCGCCGGAAACCCCGAAAGTCCCCGGAGGCCACTCTGTGAGCCCCTTAGGCCTACACGTGAAGAACCAGCTCTAGCTGGGAGGAGCTGAGGCAGACGGGGGCCAACCGGTGGGCCCGACCCGTCACTCTCGCGGTGGCGCCGAGTGGTTCTGCCCAACATCCGGCGGGCCCTGCGCCCAGAAGGCGGGCCTTCCGGTGGAAGGGGCGGGCGCAAAGCCGGAAGGGGCGTGGCCTCCCACGCCGAGGACCGAGGGTCTGGGCCGGCCGGTGGGTGGGATGCACTTTTGGGTTTCCTAATTTTTGGGGTTAAATCCCTAGGTCTTTAGGCTCAAAACTGGGTCCTCAGGGCCCATCAGGGGTGTGCCAGAGGGTCTCTAAGCCTGGGTCCTTAGGGCCCATCAGGGGTGTGCCAGAGGGTCTCTAAGCCTGGGTCCTCAGGGCCCATCAGGGGTGTGCCAGAGGGTCTCTAAGCCTGGATCCTTAGGGCCCATCAGGGGTGTGCCAGAGGGTCTCTAAGCCTGGGTCCTCAGGGCCCATCAGGGGTGTGCCAGAGGGTCTCTAAGCCTGGGTCCTCAGGGCCCATCAGGGGTGTGCCAGAGGGTCTCTAAGCCTGGATCCTTAGGGCCCATCAGGGGTGTGCCAGAGGGTCTCTAAGCCTGGGTCCTCAGGGCCCATCAGGGGTGTGCCAGAGGGTCTCTAAGCCTGGGTCCTCAGGGCCCATCAGGGGTGTGCCAGAGGGTCTCTAAGCCTGGGTCCTCAGGGCCCATCAGGGGTGTGCCAGAGGGTCTCTAAGCCAGTGGATAAAAACATCTCATCTTGGGGCGCTGGGGTGGCTCAGTGGTTAAACCTCTGCCTCTTGATCTCAGCTCAGGTCGTGATCTCAGGGTCCTGAGTTCAGGCCTCATGTTGGGATCCGCGCTGGGCAGGAAGCTTACTTAAAATAAAAAAATAAATAAAATATTAAAGAAACGCCTCATCTTCCTGGAGCGTCAGTGTTACAGCAGGATATTGGGGGATACACCAGGTACATATTAGGATATAGAAAGCAGAACCAGTACGAACATAAAAAGGAACTCTAAAAACATTGACTTTGATGGGTGATCACTCTGGACACCCTGCCCCTTAGAGCTGCTTGGGTGAAAAGGCTTGACCTGTGCAGCTCTCTTCCCTAATTGTGATCCTTCGTTGTAAACACGGGGACAGGAATATTTGCGTGGTCCAGCAGTTGTGGGGATAGCATCTTAGGGCAGCACTGTGTTAAGTGCTTCATTTAATAGAAGTTCGCGTGATTCTGCACTAACTCTGGCGGGGAGGGGTTAGTGCAGACCATCCCCTCACCAGGGAACTCAAGTGCACAGAGGCTAGCTCCTAAGCTTACAGGGCTAGTGGGTTGTCCTGGCTGGGGTCCGAACCGAGGCAGAATGGCTCCAGAATTGGATACTAGATTATGCAGGTCCACCATTTCTCACCTGAAACTTTTTTTTATATTTTTTTTCTTTATTTATGATAGTCACAGAGAGAGAGAGAGAGAGGCAGAGGGAGAAGCAGGCTCCATGCACGGGGAGCCCGACGTGGGATTCGATCCCGGGTTACCAGGATCGCGCCCTGGGCCAAAGGCAGGCGCCAAACCGCTGCGCCACCCAGGGATCCCCTCACCTGAAACTTTTTTAAAAAAAGATTTTATTTATTTATTCATTAGAGACACAGAGAGATGCAGAGACACAGGCAGAGGGAGAAGCAGGCTCCCTGCAAGGAGCCCGATGCGGGACTCCATCCTGGATCCTGGGATCAAAGGCTGAGCCGAAGGCAGACGCTCAACCTCTGAGCCATCCAGGCGTTCCTCACCCGAAACTTTTGAGGACACGTGGTTCAGAAATGTGTGAGCAGTTACGTGGTACACATACACCGTAATGTGAGGTCACATTCTTGCCAGGCTATGATGGGCACACCATAATCAAATGCATTAAAAGTTCTGTGGTGAAAAACATTAATATACAAGCGGAATGTGTGGACGCTGTAAATAGCTTCAGCTCAGACTTCTGTTGACAAATGAGGTCAGGACAGCTTTTGCCAATACGTTTTGAAAGGCTTTTAGATGTTTTTAGGATTCAGAACAGCAGAGGGGATTCCTGGGTGGCTCAGCGGTTTGGCGCCTGCCTTTGGCCCAGGGCATGATCTTGGAGTTCTTCCTGCATGGAGCCTGCTTCTGTCTCTGTCTCTCTCTCTCTATGTGTCTCTCATTAATAAATAAATAAAATCTTAAAAAAAGGAAGAAAAAGTCATTAAAAAAAAAAAGAACAGCAGAGGAAAAAGTTGTGGACATGGAGCGCCTGGGTGGCTCAGACAGTGAAGCGTCTGCCTTCATGTTGTGATCTCTGGGTTGTGATGGAGCCCCACATCTCAGCTCCCTGCTCAGTGGGGAGTCTGCTTTCCCTCTCCCTCTGCCCCTCCCCTGCTTGTGCTTGCTCTCTCAATAATATTTTTTTTTAAATCTAAAAAAAAAGGGGGGGGGGCTCTGGACTGTCCTGACAACTAAATGAGACAAAGTAAGAGAAACAACACAAGCAGAAGAGCAAGGGGACTGCAGGAGCAAAAGGCACACGGGCATAGGTCGTTTAGGTGGTACAAGCTCTTGTCCACCTCGTGGGCAGTATCCCCAGGAAATAAATGGCAGTTGTTAAAATGAGCAGCTCAGTTTCTCCTACGGGTGGGGAGACAGCCTGTGTGCGAGAACTAGGGCAGTAATAACCTGCCAGGCGTTTCTGCTGCGCCGCACTGCAGCGGTGTGAGGAGTCAGTCATCCACCCCATCAAAGGACACGTGTCGCATCGCACTCATTCTGGGGCGGACCACCAACTGTACTAAGCACCTTACAGCTATTGCCTCACTTGATCCTCATGGCAACACTTTCCCCCACTAGATATTTGAGGAAACAGCGCCACAGGGAAGGCACATGACTCCCCGGACTCCAAATATATATTAATGGAGCACCTGCCTGGGCCAGACCCCGTTCCCAGGGATGAGGGGACGGCTGTGAATTAAACAAAGCCCCTGCCCCAAGAGCTTGCATTCCAGACACGCAACGCGTTAGCAGATAATGTCAGTGGCTGGAAAAAGAAAGCAGGGTGAGGGGACAGAGCAAGTGCCCTTGCACACCTGTGCCAAGGTGCAAGGGCAAATCATATTTGCTATTCATGATTTAAACAAACTCTGCAGCCCGATGCTCCTAACGATCTTCATGATGCACACCGAGTGCGTGCAGACCCGTCACTTTTTATTGCCCTGGGGCTGCATCAGAACCCCAGAGCCCGGCATAGAAAAGGAGGAGGGCTCTCGGAATGCCAGGTGTCCGGAGCGAGCAGCCTGGGACCCTGCACACGCCCCTTATCCCTCTCAGCGTCAACCGAGCACGCACTTGCATCCCGTTGGGGCGACTGCCGCCCAGGCTTGTCGCACCGCCTCCGCGAGAGAAGGCGGGGGGCGCCCTCTGGGAACCGTCGCGCTCCACCCCGCGGCTCCGGCCCGGCTGCGCTCGCCGCCCCGCACCTCCCAGCGCGCGGCGCGTCGGCCCGCGGCTTTCTCTGCGCACGCGCACGGTCGGCCCGGCTCGCCGGCGCCGGCCACATCCGGGGCCCCGCCGGCGGCGCGGTTACCATGGCAGCGGGGGCGCGGCCGGCGCGCGGGCTGGCAGGCCCGGAGGCTGCGGGCGGCCGGGGGGCCCGCGGAGCCGCGCAGCGGGACAGCCGCGCCCGCAGCGCCCCGGGCCGGCCGGGCAGCGCCGCCGCCATGTCGCAGGGCACCGCGGAGCCGGCCTCAGAGACGGTAAGCGCGGGCGGGCCTCCCCGTTCCCTCCGGCTCCCGGGCTCGCGGGGCCGGGCGCGGGCCGGAGGAAGGGGCGCACGGCAGGCGGCCGCCGGCTCACAGCCGCCCTTATTGTTACCGCACAAGAGCGGCCCTCGGGTCCCCGCCCGCGGCCGGCCGGCCGGGCGTCCCGCCCCGCACCCAGCCTCCAGCCGCCCCTCGACCCCGCCCGCCCTTGCACAGGCCGCCGCTTCCAGGAAGCCCTCCCGGACGCCGCGTCCTCGCCGCTCGGCGCCTGCGAGGCCCCGGCCTGTGCCGAGCCTGCGACCGCGGCCCGCGGGGCTACGGAGCTCACTGCGTAAGTGCCCGCCCCTCCCCGTGCCTCGGGGCGGCGGGGTGGGGGGCGCAGCGGCCGGGGCGCCCAGCCCGAGCCCTCCAGATGTGCGAGGCGTGGAGGTGGGGGGAAGGAAGCCCCAGCGCCCCCCCCCCCGCCCCGCGCCTCCGGCCCAGCGCCGAGCGGAGGCTTCCCGGAGAAGGTGCCCCCAAGTTCCCTCCCTAGGGTGAGGGCAGGCGTGCTGACAGCTCGCGCCTTTGCCAAGTGTTTGGGGGGCGCCTGCCCTCCGCTGGAGGTGTCACGATGGGTGAATGAGTGGCACTGCGGTGCAGGTGCGGGGAGAACGAGGCCTGCAACCGCACTCAGGTGGCCCGAGCAGAACAGGGAACAGGCCCCTGGGGCCGCGGTGGGTTGCAGAGGGCTGCTTCAGGCCGGGTGCTGGAGCAGGTGTCCAGGACTCCCTGGATGCCCCTGCTCAAGGAGACCTGAGAGCGTGGGAGGTGGGACGGTGGGGACTGTTCCAGGGCCTGAGAGAGCTTGCTGCCCTCTGCCCCTCCAGAAGGAGAGCAGGGCCTGACCACAGGGAGCCTCGCAGGCCATGCAGGGAGTTTGCACCTTACTGTGGGCACCGTGAGAAGCCTCTGGAGGGCTCCAGACAGAGACATTTTGGCCACGTTGCTTCCTTCTCAGAGGGCCGAGCCCCGCAGGGCTGCACAGAGCTTACCCAG